AAAGGAAATGCATGGGAGTTGATTTCTGTTATGACAAAAATCTGTTAAGCTATTTCTTCTCATGAGTAAAGGCATAGTAAGAGTCATAACAGCAATCTGTCATCATGTATTACTCACAAGGAATGTTCTCCTTTTCTTCACCAGGACTAATTACTTTATTTAATCGTTATGCAAATGTAAGTTACTAGTATGAAAGGAGACACAGAGTGCTCTTTTTAAAAATTTTGGACTCTCATTCCTGAATGAAATAAACCCCTCCCCCCAAAAAATCACATCACCTGAAAACAAAAACAATTACATAGGGACATTAAAACATTTCTACTATTAACAGAACAATCAAAATGTCTAGAAGGGACTTGGTCTAAGAGAATCTTAGAAATAAAAAGAACCTTAGAATTCTTCCAAAGGACAGAGCCATCTGGGTGTGAGGCAACAAGAGTTGGACATAAAGTCAGTAGACTGCAATTCAAATCCTGCTACCAACACTTGCTTATTTGATTTTATGAAAAGCAATTTCCCTCTCTGAAATTGTTTCCTGAACCATAATTCAGGAATAAAAATACATGTGCTACCTACAGCAAAATAATGTCAGGAGGTATACATAAACCTTAAGCATTATAGAACTGTCAGCTACACAAAAATCATTACAATCTGGTACTAATTTCTAACCAGAGTATGAATTCTATGTTCAATCCCTGACAGATGGCAAACTCCAGTTGCTAATGACCATCACTTAATGCCAGATTCCTGTGATAGAAAGAGAAAGAAAGGGAGAACAATCCATTATCATTCAGATAGAAAATCAGCACATACAAATGCTTAATTATCTACTAGCATATGGGTTACATATAAAGGAAGCAGTAAGGAATCACAGATGCCAGTAGATCTAAGTGATCTATCTGAATAGTTATGCCTTTGCTTTTAGACAAAAGAAGAAGCAAATAAATATTTTCCAGGACTATACACGATGTTTATAAGTAGCTGGCCTATTGGATAGTGCCAGATTTGAGCCATTCACATTATTTTCAAATATAAAACTAAGCATTGCACTACCCATTACCTTCAAATATAAAACTAAGCATTGTGGTACACATTGTGGTACAATGTTATATAGAACTTTAGAATCACAGAATTTTTAAGTGGAAGTAATCTTATGGTGGATTAAATAAGTGTGATCTTTACCACATGAGGTACTATAGCAGAGACAGCTTGATATACTGGAGAAAGCGTCTAGACCTGAGGTCACAAAGACCTATCTTTGATACTGATTGTTTCCTCACTATCCCACTTCCATTTCTTTATTACAAAAAAAACCCCCAAAACATTTAAGCAGAGCAAATTGAGTGACCCATCTGACCATGAATACCATATTCCAAAGCTTATTTTTTTTTATCTAAAGCATGCCAGTAATAATCTGCAAAATCATAATTAGCATAAGCAAAATTAGGATTGCCCCTAGAGTGCCATCAATTCAGGGAAGTGTTTCCTATGGGAAGCAGATGTGACCACTGCCCCTCAATCTTGTCTTACACTCCTCTGGTTAAGTCCCCACACTTTACCCTTAATATTGTCACCATTAGTCACTTCTTCTAGGCTACCTCCTCACCTTTAATCCTTATCTGCAAAAAGGCCAAAAACTGTTTGAAGAGCCTGTGCCCTTCCAGAAGAACTGTACCAGTCATAAGGCTATGCCTCTGTTCCTCCTACCCCTGAAATTAATTTGCACCAGTAAGAGTTTTATCAAGTTTTAGTACTAGTTATCTCATCTATTTCTTCTAATAATTTCTTCAATAATTCAATAATTTTTAATAATTCCTTCAATTTAATGGCCATTGAAACAAATTCTCACATTTAAAGAGATAAGAGTTAAGTTAATATTTATAGATGCCCTGATAATTATGTGGTTTTAAGCAATCTGTCAACTTTTTTGGTCACTTAACTCCATCATTTTTTTTTACACAATTCCTACAGTTAATTAATTCTGGATTAGAGACTTGCATACAATTATTTTAACTCCTACTTTGTAACATCTTAATAAAGAGTTTATAACTCAAGTAATTGTCTGGGATCGTGAGCAAGCAGTGCAAAAAGAGTCAGATCATAGAACCTTTCTTTGGTGACAAAGAAGATCAAAATATACAACCAGAAGAAGACAACAAAGTCAAAGATCCTACATGCAAAGCCTTCACGAAAAATATGAATTGGTCCCAGGCCATGGAAGAGCTCAAAAAAAGATTTTGAGAAACAAGTAAGAGAAGTAGAGGAAAAACTGAGAGTGATGCAAGAAAATCATGAAAAAAAGTCAACAGGGTGCTAAAGGAGAACCAAAAAAATACTAAAGAAAATAACACTTTAAAAAAATACCCTAACTCAAATGGCAAAAGAGGTCCAAAAGGCCAATGAGGAGAAGAATGATTTCAAAAGCAGAATTGGACAAATGGAAAAGGAAGTTCAAAAGCTTACTGAAGAAAATACTTCTTTAAAAATTAGAATGGAGCAATTGGAAGCTAGTGACTTTACGAGAAATCAAGACACAGTAAAACAAATCCAAAAGAACAAGGAAAATAAAAGAAGGCTATGTGAAGTATCTCATTGGAAAAACAACTGCCCTGGAAAATAGATCCAGGAGAGAGAATTTTAAAATTATTGGAATATCTGAAAGCCATGATGAAAAAAAGAGCCTAGACATCAACTTTGAAGAAATTATCAAATAAAACTGTCCTGATATTCTAGAACTAGACAGCAAAATAGAAGTAGAAAGAATCCACCAATCACCTTTTGAAAGAGATCTCCAAAGGAAACCTCCTAGGAATATTGTAGCTAAATTCCAGATTTCCCAGGTCAAAGAGAAAGTATTGCAAGCAGCCAGAAAGAAAAAAAAAATTCAAGTATTGTGGAAACACAATCAGGATAGCTAAAGTTTTAGCAGCTTCAATATTAAGGGGACCACAGGGCTTAGAATATAATATTTCAGAGGGCAAAGGAGATAGGATTACAACCAAGAATCACCTACCCAACAAAACTGAGCATAATCCTTCTGGGGGAAAAAATGGACATTCAATGAAATACAGAGCTTTCAAGCATGCCTGATGGAAAGACCAGAGCTGAATAGAAAACTTGACTTTCAGATACAAGACTCGAGAGAAACATGAAGAGGTAAACAGGAAAGAGAAAACATAAGAGACTTATTGAGGTTGAACTTTTTACATTCCTTCATGAAAAGATGATATTTGTAACTCATGAGTCCTTTGTCAGTATTAGAGTACTTGGAGGGAAAATAACTATATGTATGTATATAGATAAATAGATGGATAGATAGATAAATAGAGGGCAGAAGGTGAGTTGAAGATGAAGGGGTGCTATCTGGAGAATGAAATTAAGGGGTGAGAGAGGATGATACTGGGAGAAGGAGAAAGGGAGAGGTAGAATGGGGTAGATTATCTCACATAAAACAGAGAAGAAAAAACTTTTATAGTGGAAGGCAAACGAGGGAAGGTGAGAGGGAATGAGTTAATCTTATTCTCATAAGATTTAACTTAAGAAGAGAATAATATACCCACTCAATTGGGTATGGAAATCTATCTTATCCTACAGGAAAATAGGGGGAAGGGACAAGAGAGCAGGAGGATGGTAGAGGGGAGGGCAGATTTGGGAGGGGGTAATCAGAAGCAAACATTTGTAAGGAGAGACAGGGTCAAAAGAGAGAATAGAATAAATGGGAGGCAGGATAGGATGAAGGCAAATATATTTAGTTTTTCACAACATGACTACTATGGAAGTGTTTTTGCATGACTACACAAGTATAACCTGTATCAAGTTGCTTGCCTTCTCAATGAGGGTGGTTGGGGAGGGAGGAAGGGACAAAGTTCAGAAACCAAAGTTTTAAAAACAAAAGTGTAAAAAAATTGTTTTCACATATACCTGCGAAATATTAGTATAATAAAAATATGTAAATAAAAAGAATACTTGTGCTGAGGTCTTTTGATTCCAAATCAAAAGTTTTTTGTTCTATGCTATGTTCTTTATTTCTAATGTACTTCTGTAATTTATTAATGTTGCTATTCCTGAGAAAAAGAGATGTGAAATGGCAAAGTCTTTCTACTTGTATATAAGTTAGCATCAACTTAAATATGAAAAAGAAAATGTTGTCCTACTCTTTGATTTCCTTAGATTCAATTTATACTGACCAAACAATTTATTGAATTTTTAATGGATAGGGTAAAGTGTTAGAGCAGTATTGTCTATTAAGAAGGTGCACATCTGTAACATAAGAAAGAAGGGAAGGGAATGTGATGAAGTGCATTTGGGTTAGGATCAAAGGAGAATCACAAATAATTATGCCATCAGACTCTACTACCCCCCAAAAAAAAACATGGAAAAAAAGGAAGTGGATGGACAACTAAAGATGTAGGTCAGAAGACATGGTATAGGAGCTTCAATTATACAGACATCTCCTACAGTTTTCTCTTTCTATCAGTTGCAGAGTAGCTCATCATTATTGATTTGGCTTAATGATCATTTCATCCTTCAAATCATTGTGGAACCATCAAGGAAGGATCAATTATGGATCTATTTTGACAAAAGTGTTGTCACTGTTTTTTGAAGTGCAAATTATAGCAACCATTGGAGAACCACTCACTTGCTTCTAGAGTGTTTTATTTTTTTCAATTAAACGTTTATTTTCTTTCCCTCTGACTTCTTTTTCCTTAAAGTTGAAAAAGAAGAAGAAAATCTTCATATTACATAAAATTAGACAACCAAAGAAAAATATCACATTATCTATTCCAAAAAAGGGTGTCTTAGTGGCATAGCCAAGATATCGGGTTAGAGGCAGCAACCTGAAATCTTTCAGTAGTCTCTTCCAAAAAACATCAAAATCACACTTCAAATTGAATTCTAGAGCAACAGAGACAAAAAAAGGTCAAAGTGAGACATTTTTCCAGCCAAAGATAACTTAAGAAGTCAGAGGAAAAGGTCTGTGATATAGGGTGAGGACTGACCTGGAGGGCAGTGATGGCAACACCAGCAGTGGGTCCTGGAAACAGTTGTGATAGTGGTAGCAGCAGCTTCAGGAGTTCTCAGACCACAGATGGTAAGGGCGTCAGATATATGATCAGAAACAAAAACATCACAAAGGACCCTGAGCTGACACTAGGTATAGAACCCTGTTGCATTGCCCATACAGTTCTTAGTCATGGTTCCAGAGCAGAGAGAAGCACTTGTGGTCAGTCAAAGACAGCAGCAGCCTTGGACACAGTCCTAAGACATGGAGGAGCACTAACTCTTGTTGCTGCAGGAGAATAGAGAAGCTATTCTGTCCTGTGTTAGTGTGTCCCATATCACATAATCAATTCCAAAGTTCTTCAGAAAGATCTTAAGAGTGTCCTTGTATTACTTCTTCTGGCCACACTGTGAGTGCTTGCATTGTGTGAGTTCTCTGGAAAAAAAAAGTCTTTTAGGCAAGTGTATGTTTGGCATTCAAACAATACAGCCAGCCCACTGGAGTTGCTCTCTCTGCAGCAGATTGCTTGCCAGTTTAGTTCAAGAAAGGACCTCTGTATCCAGTACCTTATCCTGACAGGTGATCTTGAAAATCTTCCTAAGACATTTCAGATGTAAGTGATTCAATTTCCTGGCATGGCATTGGTATACTGTCCAGGTTTCACAGCCATCCAACATTGAGGTCAGCACAATTACTATAGACCTTCAGTTTGGTAGACAGTCTAAAACCTCTTCTCTCCCACAATTTCCCTTGGAGCTAACTCTGGCAACGTGTGTGTCAATCTCATTGTCAATGTGTATATCCCTGCAAAGTATACTACCAAGGTAAGTGAACTTATCCACAGTATTCAAAACTTTTCCATTTATTATAACCAATGGCTACACTTACGAATGGTGTAGTGCTGGCTGGTGGAGCACCTGTGTTTTCTTGGTGTTGTTAGGCCAAAATTAGCACAAGCAGCAGAGAGTTGATCTATAATTTATTGTAGCTCAGTTTCAGAGGCTGCAGTGAGTGCACAAGCATCTGCAAACAAGCAAAAACAAAAACAAACAAAGAAAAAGCATGCACCAACACTCGCTCTACTTTAATGTTGGCTTGTACCTTTTTTTTTTAATTTGAAGAATTTACCAACAATATAATAGCTAATGTTCATGCTGTGTTCATCCTCACTGAAGGCATTTGACAACATTGCTGAAAAAGCATGGGAGCAAATACACAGCCTTGTTTCACTCCATTGGTTACTGGGAAAGCATGAGAACATCATATGTTATCCAGAACCCAAGCAAGAAGGCCATCATGAAATCAACAAACAATACTGATGAACTTCTCCACTCATCTACATTTTGACATAATTTACCATAAATCCTCATGACTTACAGTATCAAATGCAATGTTCAAATCAATAAACATTGTGTATAGAATTCTATTCTGCTCCTGGCGTTTCTCCTGGAGTTGCTGAGCAGCAAATACCATATTGAACATTCCTCAGCCCTTTCTGGAGCAATGCTGACTCCCAGGTAGTTGACCATCTTCCAGATGATTAGCCTATTAAGGAGGACTCTGACAAGAATCTCATCAGTAGTGACAAAGAGAGAGACCCCCTCCTCTTCCCCGTGATTGTCACGGAACAATGTATTTCTTTTACCTTTGTAGGGATAGATAATAGAGACATACTTGAACTCCTGGGGAATAAACTCCTCTTGCCACATAGCCTAGAAAATTTCAATATGCTTTTGTGTGAGCAATGGACACTCCCCCCACTTTGTAAATCTCAGCTGAAATAGAATGAGCACTAGGTGCTTTGCTATAGGAGAGGAGTCTAATGACGTTTAAAACCTCTTCTTCATTTGGAAATATGAGTAGAGAGGAATTTATTTCAACCTGAGGTAAATCAATGGCTTCAGCATTGATTGGTGATGGTTTGTTGAGAACACTATATAAGTGTTCAGCCCTTCTTTCCAGGATCTTTCCCATATCACTAATTCAATGTGGCTCCATCAGAACTGAGTAGTTGAGATTCACCATTTGTCTTTGGCCCATAAAAAGCCTTCAGGGCATGACAAAAGCTCTATGGATTGTTACTATCAGTGTAAAACGGAATTTTATCTACCTTCTGACTGAGCCAAGAATACTGTCTCTCTCTAAGCCTTGCTTGTATTTTATTTTTGATGTAGTTAAATGCTACCCTCTTAGAGAGAGATGAACCATTCTGCTGGTTAATCCTGCAGAGTTTTTATTTTTCATTTAGCAGCTTCTGAATTTCCTCAGCATTTTTGTCGACCCAATCCTGATGTTTGCAAATTTTCTGACCCAGATGATTACATGTAGTGCTGTACATCAAATTTCTGAAAGCTTCCCACTCCTTTTCTGATCTGCTCTTACCAACTATGTATTGGCTCAACTTTCCCTCCAAGTTAGCAATGCATTATTCCCACTCAGAATTGATCTAATCTGTTGACATTAAGTCTTCTGGTAGTCATCTTACCTTGGAGCCACCACTTGAGTTGAATGTGAATATTTAGCTTGGAGAGGAAAAGTCTATGATCAGTCTAGCACTTTGCAGTACACACTCTCGCATTCTTTCTGTCTCTTCTCCTTACAATGACATAGTCTATTAAAGTGCTAGTGTCTGCTGTAATGTTGCATACATGAAGTTTTATTGTGTTTAGTTCAATGGAAAACAGTCTTGGTGATGAGATGTACAAGTCCTCAGTACTGAGTAACTAAGTAACTAAGTAACCATTGCTATTGTTTCCTACTCCATTTCTCCCAAGGACTCCCTGCCATGTCTGCACCTCTTCTAGCACTAAAGTCACCCAGAATTATAAGGTGGTCTTCTTTTGGCACATTGATGATGAGGGTCTCTAGGTCTTCACAGAATTTTTCTTTCACCTCATCAGGGTTCCTCCTAGTGGGAGCATAGGTACTGATAACTGGTGTTATGATGTTTTCCTGAAAGTGACAGTTGCATTGATATGGGTCTATCATTCATGCCTTTTGGTAGGCATATAAGCTTATCGACTAGATTAATTTTGATTTCATAATCTATGCCAACTTCACAGCACTTTCCTTCACTGTGGTCATGACAGAAAAACATGTATCCACCTCTGTCTTTGGTAAGCTAGCCTTCATTTGCCAGCCTTATTTCACTCAGAGCTGCTATTTGGATGTGAGTTCACTCATAACAAGACCCCTTTGTCTTTCAGGTATACTGGATTTTGTGTTGTCCATAAGTGTGCATATATTACTTGTACTGATGGTGAGTGGAATCATCTTTGCAGAAGTTTTTGTACATTTGTTTTGTGTGGGTTTCAACCACAGAGTGAGTTACCTACCTGCCGTGGTAAACAGGCCAGTGTTGGGTAATTGGACAATTTTAGGGCATCTTTTCTAACCCCTTCCTTACTCCCAGATGTGAGCAATTCAGTCCTTAAAAGGCTGCTCTGATATCTACTGAGCTGCTGAATCCCACTGTAGCTTCCAGTGAGAAGATGGCTCTATGGCCAAGGCCACCTGTGTGCAGGGTTGTAAGTACACCTCCCAGTGTATTCATACCTGTTGCTTTATTCCTTACCTGTAGACACAAGACTTTGAGATAGGTAAAAACGGTAAAGTGGTATAGGTTATGTATTTTGATTCAAACATAAATTGAATTTAAATAAGGCAGAGCTGCATGAAGTCTTCAGTCACAATCTCTCTTCCAGAGTCATCACAGTCCAGTGGCAGGACAGAGTCAAGATGACTGGTGATGGTTCAAGGTACAGCATTTCTTTATGTGACAACCAAAACCCAAGACAAGAGGCAGAAATATAAATTCCATTTAGGTAACTATTTGGGAGTCTACCTGCCAAAACAAACCCAGGAACTATATGAAAATAATTACAAAACACTTTCCACACATATAAAGTCATATCTAAATAATTGGGAAAATATCATTTGCTCCTGGGTAGGCCAAGATAATATAATAAAAATGACAATTCTACCTAAATTAATATAGTTATTCAGGGCCATGCCAATCAAACTAAAAAAAAATATTTTATAAAGCTAGAAAAAATTATAACAAAATTCATCTAGAAGGACAAATGGTTCAGAATATCAAGGGAATTAAAGAAAAGAATTGCTAGGGAAGGTGGCCTAGCCATACCAGATCTTTTATTGTATTAATATTAATCACATTAGTTGGTTATAAAGAATATTGTAAAACAACAATCAATAAACTACTTAAGACTGGCTAAGAAATTGAGCGGTAGATCAATGGAATAGGTTAGGTACACAAGACACAATAGTCAATGATAATAGCAATCTACTGTTTTATAAACCCAAAGACTCAAGCTTCTGGGATAAGAACTAACTGTTTAACACAAACTTCTGGGAAAACTGGAAAATATTATGACAGAAACTAGGCATAGACCAACATCTTACACTGTATGCCAAGATAACATCGAAATGGGTACCTTATTTAGATATAAAAGCTGTTACTATAAACAAACTAGAAGAGCAAGAAATAGTTTACCTGTCAGATTTATGGAAAATGAAAGAATTTATGACCAAACAAGAGATAGAGAACATTATGGAAAGCAAAATGGATAATTTTGATTACATTAAATTGAAAAGTTTTTCTTTTTTTTCCCAAGGAAAGCCAATGCAACAAGATTAGAAGGGAAGCAGAAAGCTGAGAAACATTTTTTACAACCAGTGTCTTTGATAAAGGCCTCATTTCTAAAATATATAGAGAATTGAGACAAATTTTAAAGAATATAATTCATTCTACAATTGATAAATGGTCAAAGGATATGAGCAGGTAGCTTTCATTTGAAATTAGAGCTATCTATGGTCATATAAAAATGCTCTAAATCACTATTGATTGGAGAATTACAAATCAAAACAACTCTGAAGTACCATATCACATGTATCAGATTGGCTAACATGACAAAACAGGAAAATGATAAATGTTGGAGATGATATGGGAAAATTGAAACACTAATGCATTGTTGGTGGAGTTGTGAACTTATCCAACCATTCATTCTGGAAAGCAATTTGTAAGTATT